CAGCCAATCACTTGAAACGACAAGATGAAATAAAATAAATCGGATAATGCATGCAGATACGGAGACATAACTCTTCACTAAATGAGCGTATAAAAATGATTACAAACGAAAACATAATTTAATACCACAAACGCGAAAGGTTATCGAAATTAATTACAATTAGTTTCAGGAACGAGTGCAAGTTTATACAAGATAGTACAGTTAGACAATAATATGTGAGCGAAAATCATTAGGACAAACTTGAAAACCCACCACCTGAAATAAAGGGACCAAGCATGCAAGCACACGGTTAGTAAATGAAAGGCAGCGTACCTACAAACGCTGCGCCGGTTCTGTCTACCTTCTCTGCAGAACCCGTCGTCGCTTCGGTGGTGGTTCCAAGTGGCCTCGCTCATGGCTCACTAGGCCTGCCTGACTCAAACACTCGCGACCGCATGTGCTACAGCACCATGCGCTCGATGTCGATGAAGTACAACCCATCGGCGCCTGCCGCTTCTTCTTTGCATGTATGATGTCTTCCGCACTTCGGCAACTGCCTTCATGATCAGATCGCGCCATGCACGCCGATCAACCGCCTTCGATTCCCATGATCTGCAATCAAGTTTAGAACGTGAAAGCCTCACTTTGATCATGTCCTGGTAACGAAGCTTCGGTTTCCCCACATGCCGCTTCCCATTACTCAGCTGAGCACACGATAGTTGTTTCGGTATCCACGTCGAATCCATACGGCTCACATGACCGAGCCACCTCAGGTGTCTCAGCAAGAGTATGCAGTCCATTGCACACATTCCAATTCGGCGCTACGCTTCCGTATCCGCAACTCTGTCGCCCCATTCGGTGTGCATAATCCACCGCACGCACTGTTGATGGAACCGCTCGAGATATCGCGCATCCCGCCGGTACATCGTCCACGTTTCACTGACGTATAGAAGGACGGACAGCACCATGGATTTGTAGACCATCAGCTTCGTGCCAATGGTAAGCTGATGGTTTTTCCACACTTGGTACTCACGCTTCCCGAATGCCACCGCTGACTTCGAGACGCGGATACGAAGCTCACTGTGAAGCTGCTGGTCAGTCGACATCACACTCCCAAGGTAGCTGAAGCGGGAAGTGGTTTCCAATACTTCAGCACCAATGCTGATTCGCGGCAATATTGAAGATTGCACCTCCGAAGAAGGCTGAAAGAGACAGACAGTTTTGTTTGTGTTGATAGTGAGCCCGAATTTGGTCGCTTACGGAGCCAGAACACTAGTCATGTGCTGCAACTCATCCACGCTGTGTGCATACGACGCACAGTCGTCAGTGAACAGCAACATACGGATAGTTATCTCACGGACTATGGTTCTCGCACCGAAACGACGGATGTTCAGCAACCCACCATCAATGTGGTCCTGCACACGAACACCGTAAGCACAAGCCGCATCAAAAGCACAGGACAACATTGCATGAAGATATATATTAAACAGGGCAGGAGCTAAGACACAGCCTTGCTTCACACCAGAGATAACTGCAGTCATCCGAGGTCTCTCCACTCAGCTGCACCCTTTCTCGCATACCACTGTGCAGACATTCAATTAAACTTACCAACTTACGCGGGCAACCAAACTTACCCAACACCAGCTACAATGCCTCGCGGTTCACCGTATCAAATGCCTTGGTGAAATCAACCGAAAGCGAGTACAATGGCTGGTGTCGTTCTCTGCACTTCTCCTGCAACTGACGAGCCGCAAACACCATATCTATAGTGCTGCGACCCGAACGGAATCCACACTGCTCTTCGGCCACGTTAGGTTCCACAACCTGACTGACGAGGCGGTTGAGCAGGATTCTGGCAATCACCTTGCCCACACAACTCAGCAAGTTGATGCCATGATAATTCGTGCAACATTGCTTGCTACCTTTGCCCTTGTACAGTGGTAGCACAAGGGCGTCATTTAGGTCAGGAGGTACCTCCTCCTCAATCCATGCACGTTGCACCAAGTGGTGCAGCGCAGTCAACAACGCGGGTCTGCCGTGTTTCAATACTTCAGGAGGGATCCCGTCGGCTCCGGCACACTTGCCGTTTCGCAGTTGAGGAAGTGCTCTCTGCGTTCAAATATATATATATATATATATATATATATATATATATATATATATATATATATATATATCGATGTCTTCTATGTCAATGCAGTGTCGCCGGCCGTAGCCTGAAGGATCACAAGTCTGCCTTGTCATCAGAGACGCGGGTTCGAGCCTGCATGAGTCACTGGGCGACCCTTACAGTGTCCGTATCCCACGCGCGAATGTTGGTATTTGCGCGGCAATGAATAGTCGATACTGCGTACACGCGTACTGCTGATATCTTGAATGCAGGGTCATTGGTGTTTGGCCCGAACTTCCCACTAAGTTTATCTTCTTATCTAATCAGACGACGTACTTGCGCATACACAAAATAATTTCTGAATCGGAATATATGAAACAAGCGTTTTCCTTTATGATTCCAAACAAAAATCAGAAGACGTAGATTGTGAGATGACGCCGTAATTTCGTGCCTTCTTATCCATCACAAAAACACAACATGAGAACATAAACAAACTGTGATCATAGATAGCCATATGCATGTTCCAAGGTTACATTTTTTCGTGATTTATGAGATAGCACGAAAAACGGAATCTCACTAGCTATGTCTTCTGTTTTTTTCTGTTTGCGCCGGTGAAGCTGTGAATGTATGTTGAGATCGACCATCATAATGGCGTTGTAGGTCAACCTGATGTGATGGTCTCCTTGTTTTAACGGTCCACTGTTTGTTGCTCCTTCATGTTTACTCATACCAGATTGGTCAGTGTGTATAGACCAGACAGACCCATTTCCCTGTCCATCTAGGTTGGGGTTGATGGTAAGTTTGGCTCCTTGCTCCTTGACCACTGACGAACTCCCGCAACCTTGTGGTCAGGTTCTGGAACAAAAGGCTTTGGTTGTGAACCCTAATCATTTTTCTATCTAGGTGTAGACCACCTGACAATATCCAGCCGACGCAAAAGATATTCAACGGCACGCTATCTGTATCTAGTGAGGTTGATGCAACTGCTAAGACCCTCTCGTCTTATTCTCTATTTTACGCTATATCATCTTTATCGCCCAGCTCCTTATTCACTTTATCTCCCCGCCTTTCACCCACAACCTCCCTCAATTCCTGGTCCTCGCCCATCTGACACTGACAGGCCTTTATATTATATACCATTTCTCAGGTGACAGCACCCATAGTATGGTCATATCCCTCCTTAGGAAAGTCATGTTTCTCCGTTACTTACTCAACTTAGTTCATTCGTAAATCAAATCACATAAAAGGTTCGTACTGTTCGATGAGTGGACAATCCCAAACCAGCCAGTAGCATATCAGGTGCATATAAACCATGGAGCGCCAGTACGGTTCCTGAAGCTAGACCCGCCTGCGGCATCGTGTTTTGTTTTACAGACTAGTCGCCTTTCGAGATTTGTTTGGCTGCGTCTGACACAGTGTCAGCAGCAATTGGCCATCTCGAAGTTAGTTACACGCAAGCAAGGAGATACACTGGGGGCATTAACGCACCTGGTACGACTGGGCTTAGTAGTGACTATGTGTACTTGTGAGTGACAAGCAATCGGAGGCCCTCTACCTAGCCCACAGCCATATGCCCATTCAGGTCAGATTCGCCATTTGCTCGTTGTGTCCGCGCCCACTGGTACTGAACAGCCGGACCAGCACGGAGATGTAAGATTACGGTGACTAGCCGAGCTGTCTTTCACATGCGGTTGCTCCTAATGCCCCACCGGTTTGACCGATGAGGTGACCACGCACGAACGCACTACCATGCACGATGTGCCCTGGTTTCACTCTCGGGATGAGCGGCGCTCTAACTGGAGGACTAACTCCGTTGTGCGACTTGTGACTAGTTACACTGCTGCTAGTGTGCACTGCGTTTTAAAACAACAGGCGTCAATATAGTCGCAGTGACGCCTGGGGGACTACACTGCATCAAATGTAAAACGAGCAAGGAGCTTGAAGCGGTTTGCACTTACCGGTCAGCATTCAATAACATGGGGCGAGATGTTAACTGACTGGTAAATTACACACTGCGAATTGGTGGAATGCCCGCACAAAGGTGATCATCATGCGAGTCGATACACATCCATTGCCTTAGTACACCGTAACTGTTAAAAATGTTAACGTAAATATCACAACCGTCTGATGTGTTCGACCCTAAGTAGCGCGTACTCCTTGCCCATCACGAATTGATTCATCGGAGGATGTCAGCGGCTTCGTGTCTTTCTCCCTGCTCTATTCTCGCAAAGCGGCTTGGTCCACAACGCCAAATTACTTCATACCAACACATCACGCAGGTAGACGACGCCTCAGTTCGTACCGACGGTAACTGTGTCTACGTATTTCACTCAATTTCCTTTCCGATAACCAGTTAACACGTGGTCCGCCATCGCAACCAGCACTAAGCTGCCATCCTTGATACGCGTTATAACAATCCCCGAGAGTCTCTTTGCAGCACCGGACGCTGGAACGCATTTGCAAATTTTCCTCATGTACGACTGCCGAATGAGTGACATGGTGTTTCCGCAATTGGGGGTCTATTGCACCATGCAGACCCACGATATTTTTGCACAAAAATGTCAGTGAAGGTTATGAACGGGTATATAAAGTAAATAGAAGCACTTCACAGATTCATTAAGTGTATAGCACGATCGTGTTTCTTACAGGTTGCAGCACGTCACGTTTAAAGGAATTAACTATTTTAAATAATGCCTCACGCATTTTCGCAAACTTCCCGTAAAATTGGTCATTTTTTGCAAATTACTTCCCACTACATCTTCTTGAATATACACGTTACTAATAGTATAACGCGATTGCTCTTTACGCCGACTGCGCCCTACCTTCATGGTTTGTGCATGACAGTTTCTCCTGTCATTATTTCTTTCATACATATGCCTGTGACCACACTTCCCTACCCACTCCTTTTCAGCTTGTGCTGTCAGTGGCCTGGTTGCTGATGCCAGGACTCTTATTGAACGTGCACGCACAGAGGCAGCCCATCATTGGTTTGTATACAATGAGAAAATGTCAGTTGAAGATGTTACCAAGGCAGTCAGCAACTTGGCTCTCGCTTTCGGAGATGACGATGTAGACTCCGGGGTCATGGTATGTTCGTACTCTGTGTTTGTCGAATACGCTCTTCTCCGACCACCTGTCGTCAAGGGTGAGGGGACTTATAAGCCTTGATTTATGTTCCTCTTTGCTGTTTTTGTGGTTGTTAATCGGGGACCAGCAAGTACGAGTTTTCTTGAAGTACCTATAACTGGTGACTTCCAGTAATGGTTCATTGCGTTGGGTGACTAAAATGTTGGGCCTTTACAAGCACCCTCTCCTTGCAGCATATAATTTGAACATTCTTGTCGCGCTCAATCCAATAGTCACAATCTTTTCTCCATCTTTAGGAAGTAACGCTTGCAGACGATCTTGCGTGTTTTTGGACCTGTATTTATTTTAAACTCAACCACCATATTGAAACCATCTTGTCCAGTGAGTTGCGGTTATTTAAAACCATAGTGATGGAGCCCAGTTTTAGGTGGTTTGGAGTGATATCAACTACTCTCGAGACAGCCATAGGCGGTTTGCATCAAAAATGCCACGTGGCTCTTTAGGGTGAGAGAGTATGCGGTTACAAGCTGGAGTGCTGTTCTCAATCTTAAGACAGACACCTTGCAGTCCAAAAGATGCACATTCATCTGCCTCTCTTGTGGTTGACCTTTATCACAGCTGATACGGTTGCAAAGTATCCGATACTAGTCTCAGTCTCTCATCTGTTTTCTGATTTAGTGGTCAGATCCACAATACAGTTTGGTAAATAAAGACTCGTTGGGATCTACTCCCAACGACTGACTAGACAGCCCGCTTCGAACCACAGTGGTGGACCAACCCGGAATGAGGCTCCAAAGTTCCATGAGGATCCGCTTAAGGTCTGTCACGCGCAGTCCTTGTTCTCAATTAGCGCACGCTACCGCCCGAATCAAGTAATGCGGCTACGGTCTCATTCATCTGTAAGTGAATTTGGGTGGGTGTTCAACTTAGTGGCCATGCGTTGGCTAGCTTGAGGCGCGCATTAGAAAACCAGTGATCAGCAATGATGCTCACACACTGAACAGTAAACATTGATGTATCATGGCTACAAAAGTATGTGTTTGACAAGTCCCGTAGGATGGTTAGAGTGAACTGAAAAATCAGTTTACGCGTCTACCAATTTAACTACACTGCCTCAAAACGATAATGTGGAATGGGAATTAAATGTGCACATACAAAGTGACATAGGAAGCAGTTATAAGTGACGTATTCTGTGGGGGGAAAACGGAAATGAAGCCGTTCACTCGTGTGCCGCTTCCTTGGACCGATGTGATACGTAAATCCAGTTCCAATACGTCCTAACGATATTTCACAGTAGCAGCGTTTCAGTATTGCAGTGCTGGAAGTGAAAACAAGCACATTGATTGGTGGTATTGGGTAGACGCCCGGTCATAAATGGCTATATTGCGTGCTGTAACTGTATGAGTGTATCGTCGAGACAACTTATGGACACTGTTAGTGTGGAGCAAGAAACAACGAAAATATGGAGGGCGTTCCAAGGCTAGCACACACGAAATGAAAAATGTTCCGGCGGCATTCCAATCGGCTGTATTGTGTAGGACCAGCTTTAGCTGGCGACCTCTTGAGCTTCAACTTTAGAGGGTGACGACAAGCATGGTTTTGATTCCCCAGGATCAAATATGTCATTATCAGATCAGCACACAGGCGTCGATATTGTCCACTGTGTACCCCAAGAGTTTTCAAATTCAATTGGTCAAAGAGATGAAACGAACCCTCTCAGTTCTTGATCGCCGTTCGTTGTGGCATTTCAGGTGCGGCAAGGTCGTGCTTGTGCCAAGGCCGTCAGGCGTGTATGGCGTATTCCCAATGGGTCCTAATATAGGCGTTGATCATGTAAGAGGAACTGGAAGGATCAAAGCGCCCGAACGCTCTCCGCAAAAGGCGAAGGTGGTGGCTGGTTTTCGATACTCTTTCGGCCTGACGTGTACAGACACTATCATCTTTTACTCTTATCTTAGTTCCCGTCCAAATCAAGTGTTGCAAAACTTGATCCCCCCAGACTGTATTCGCAAGTGGATTGACGACCTGTGCTCAGTGTCTTACTCTTTCGGCGCTGAAATAAAGTAGGGTCTGAGTCGCCCATTGGTATACCATATCAAGGTAATCCTGAAGCGCTATGTGGTCACCTATTGTTATGACTCACGATATCTTGGCACCGTCAGCGAAGAGTGAAAAATTGGTGCTCACTCTCGCGAGCTCGTTTATGTAAAACAGCAATGAGCGTGGACCAAGTGCAGAGCCTTGTGGCACTCCGCATTTAACATCTATAGGGTCACAGATGGCACCTCGAATTCTCACATTCAGATGTCGTTGAATCAGGAAGTTACTTATCCGACCGAGAATCGGGTCACCAATTCCACAGCTCTGAACCTTGTGCGTGAGGATGCGGTCGTTCAGCCGGTCGAACGCCTTTGAGAAGTCCAGTTAGACTGCTTCAACTCTAACACCGCTGTTGACAAAGTCCAACTAGAACGAGAAAGCAGCAGGTTTGGGGTTCAAAACCGGTTCTGGCGGAATCCATGTTCTGGCACTATGATGTTGCATCTTTCCATGTGTTTCATAGACGCTTCGGCCATAGTGGGCTCCATTACTTTAGAGAGCACCGGAAGGAGTGTTATAGGACAATAGTTGGTCAGATCTGCATGACTTCCACCCTTGAGAATGGGATGGACGATTCCGTTTCTCCACGCTTTTGAAACCTGTGTCTCATCGCGACATTGTTAGAAGAACTCAGGGAGTGGATCCTCATTGTGCAGCTAACTTCAGCGTCTTGGGCGGATGTTATCGGCACTAGGAAAGGTATGTTCGCACATAGAAATTAGTCTCATCAGAACATATACGGCCATAAACGACATCTGGCTAAGTCACATCAAATCATAACTTGCGTGAGCCACATGGGCAACGATTTCGTGTTCTAAAAGTTTGGATACAATTGCTGACATGGACGTTGACCGCTTTTGTAGCAGTTTGTACTGGTCCACATGTCGTGTGAATAGCAATAATCCCTCGCTGCACTTTACCATGTTTGTTAACATGTCTGTAGAGGAGCTTGTGGTTTGAACAGAATTTATCTGCTATATCCTGTTGATGCTTTGATTTTTCGTCGCATCGTACCGGGTTCACGCACTGATTGCGCTGGATAATGTGGACTTCCCATGTTTCGGCACCCGATTCCTTGTAGTTTCTCCAGATTATGTCTCGTGATCATCCACTTCCGCGTCCTACTGTATATGAATGGGTTTATCCGTATCGCGCGCACTGGTTACCAGTTGAATTGATGAACAAAATCCCACCGGGACATCTCGGGGATAATTCAGCTAGAATTGACCAGTTGGTAGCATCAATGAGAGCGATCAGAGCTGCGAAGTATCTGCGTTTTCTGCGGAATACCCTGTATAACGGATATAGCTGATCAAGAATGTCGCATAACCGTTCCGGTCATAAGCTCCTCGTTGGTGAACTTTATCCAGGATAGTTGGTTTGTTCGCCGTGCTGACTTTTGTTCGGGGTAGTAACGTGATTATGAAGTTAACATCGAATGATTAGCTCCTGTAATTCCGTTTTGAAGTGTTTATCGAGAAAGATTGTTCTTTCTATGGCGTGAAGATTGAACTCACCAACCAGGAGAATGTAACTTCAAGGATAGTCTTCATAGGGGAGGCTAGGCGATTGTCCATTTCTGAACTGGACAACGGAGGGCGGTACTCAACATCCATTAAGCATGTGCCGCCACGTCTTAGGTGAAGACAGTACAGCGCGTCGACAGTCTAGACTTCCGGGTCGTCAATGCGATCAAGACATAGCTCACTGTGGTAATGGTAGTAGTACACCACCTCTATTCGGTGGATTTTTGCGCAGAATGGGCATTTCGGCGTCCGTGATCACTTCACTCCACCATGTCTCCGTTACCAAGATGATGTCCCACGACATCGAGGCCTGACGGAACCGCACCTCCATCGGTTTACTGAAATGGCCTTGTACATTGATATCAAAGCAAGTGGGTGTGCCTTCTGTGTTAAAATATAAAGTTGTAGACAGATGGTTTGTATGTTTATCTCAACAGTCTAGCAACTAGACATAGAGCCAACAAATCATCATCATCATTACACGTTAGCTGGAGGTGGAAAACACCTCAGCTATTGTGCCGCAATACAAAAGACAAGAAAAGCAAAACAAACAGTGGCACGCCCGCTGAGTCCCCAGTAACGGATGGACATCGTTCCAGAGAGCTAACAGTGCCGTAAAAGAGAGTCATATTATGCCTAACAAGTGTGATCGTGATTGGAGGGGGATGCTAAACAGGAGGGGGATGGACAAAGAACTCACAACACAAACGCCATTGGGGCCGGCTCCAAGCCATATCAGCAAGTGTGTCCAACCAAACGTGTTCACTGTCCTTAGGACCCCAGCCAGACAGTCGGGATGCACCAACCGACGCCAACTTCGAAGTGAGGGTTTTCATTTCTCTTGACCAAGTCATCACTTGGCCTCCCCTCCTCCTCTTCCAATCGCACACACAACGCGCAAACAATGCACGTCGCGGAAGTCGGTGTGCTGGCATGCGCAACACGTGGCCCAGCCATCGGAGTCTGGTGCGTGATATGATGGGGCTGAGCGGTTCAGTCGCTCTTCCTGCACCAAATACGCGACGCCGAACACTCATTGCTCACGCGGTGTTCCCACCAGACATGAGCTAAGCTGCGAAGGCAGCGATGATCAAATGTGACGAGCCTCTTCATGTCTGTCGACCTGATGGGCCAGGTTTCACAGCCATATAGGAGAGTTGAACGGACGGCTGCGTTGTAAACTCTGCCCTTGAGGACGAGAGTAATGTCGCGTCTGCGCCACAGGTGGCGGAGATTGGCAAAAGCAGCTCGACCTTTTGCTATACGGTTCGTAACCTCATCTTCAATCCCACGGGTGCTAATATAGCTGCACAGGTACTTAAATTCCTGAACGACTTCTAGCAGATCACCACCAAGCGTTAGCGCAGGGTTGGGTCCCTGCCATTCTTGGAGGTACTTTGCATTTTGATGGAGCAAAGCATAGCCCAAAACGATTGACAGCCAGTGCTAATCGGTCCAGTGCTGTTTAGCATGTTTGGGAGTTGTCACAGATTAGGGTAATATCGTCCGCATACTCCAAGTCAAAAAGTCACTCACCAGGAAGTAGCTCCACACCTAAGTCGTGTCCAGCGAGCGCTGTTTCTATGACTTCATCAATAGCGAAGTTGAAGAGGAAAGGTGACAGCCAACAAAAACCGTTTAGGTTGGCGCATAAAGGGAAGTCATCGTGGCATAGTAAAGTTGAAGGTGAGCAACACACTTCAGCCACTGTGCCGCAGGAAAAGAGGGACATTTTAACAAAAATAGAACAAAACCTTTTAGTTTGTTTTTCAAACGCCGACTTTCTTGTTTTTTTATCATTTACAATGCTTGAACTGTTAAACATGTGAATCAGTACAATTCGGTACACAATTTTTTCACTGCTTTCGGTTGTGGGCCATGTCTTCAAGATTGTTAAGCCATTGGCACTTCTCATCCTTGGGTCCCCATCCTGGAAGACGTACTTGTCCAATAGCGGCTAGACGTCATCCATCTCGCTGACACTAGGCTTCCTGAGGCCAGTGGACGGAATGGGTTGGAAAAGCTTACGAGTGTTGCATCTCTAAAGCACGCTCAGACCACCATGCCTCGCGATCCTTGCGTAGGCTTTGCTTGAGCAGCCAGTTGTCAGAACGACGCCGCTTATTACAATCTGATTCCGCCGGGATATCTTTGCGACGTTCGAATAGCTCCAGAGAGTCTTTGACTTAATAATATGATCCACAACATGGTGGGGAAGGAACCCAGCTTTGGAACGTGGCTAGCTTTCCATCGCGATCAACTTAAGACCGACTGGTTGCAATTTTAGAAGCTTGATGTTTTTTCGACCGGTAGAGATTGGCTCGTTTGCATCTTTTTAAATCAAGATTTGACAGCCTGAGGCGGCCGGTAGCAAACCACTGAGCACCGACTTATACTCTTCTACCGTCGGACAACGAGTGGCACTCGGGCTTTACGCCAGTCTTGCTTTGACCCTATAACCCATAACACGTATCCCATCACTAATTTTCCTACTATCAATGGCCGTCGACCTCTACCGAACCTCTGAAGTTGATCTTGATACAATTGGTCGGACTCTGTTGTTTTGTTCTTCCTGTCCGTTAATCAACAACATGGAAGATGATGGAGGATCTATCTCTGGATTGAAAAATCCTGAGTATGTCGGCGTTTGAACAGTGGAAAGGAAGAGCATCATAGTCCAGGATAGGGTTGGTGACGAGCTGAACTGACTGAACTAATAGTTGCAGTCCGTGAGCATAAAGGTAAACGAGATGGTTGAATTCGTTTAAATTCAGCCCTCCTAACCTAGTCACTAACTTGCCTGATATGAATTGCTCTGAGGGCACTTAACAGTCGCCACTCGGTGCACCTCTATTAGGCACAAACAATCGTACCACACTGTTCCCGTTTCGGTACGATGGGGTGGCGTAAATGCTTATTTTGACCGGCCGTTGGAGTCGCACTGCAGCTTGTGATACCTCTTCTGGGTCATTCCTTGTCTCTCTAAATACTGATTACATTATTTTTTCTGACAGAGCAGCACAAATCCTCACATCAAGTTACCTGGCGGCCATAGAATGACAGGCTGCTCGTCTGATGTACATCGTGCAGATCAGCGCAAGACCATCGGTCGAACAAGAACACTAACCGGCGGTCCTGATACTTTCCATTTGCAGCGATGTGGGGCTATCACTTAGCAATTCGATGATCGTTACATCCTTATCAACACAATTCATCACCGGCGGTTGAGGTGAATAGGCCAGTTACTGGAATCACCAATGAAGGTAGCCTACGAAGTTTTTGTTCTCTTAGTTTGAGGTATCCGGACGGTTCGATGGACTTCTTTGGCTTCAGGTAGTTGGCCTAAAGCTCACAATACGGTCCCATCGGGAAGTCAATTTTAGATTATCCGGAACACCTCGAAACGATGTAAGACAGGAAGTCACAGAATCGACCAAGAGTTTTGACTGATATAGAATTCCTCGTGCGTAGCAGAATTTTTTATATGTAATCTTTATAAGTTCCTCATCCCAGTAGTTCACAAGTTACATAGCACAGCCTAGTCCGGAAAAGCACCAGACGCCTTTGGCCCTATTGGGGCTCGTCATTGGTGCGCATTCCCTCGGTCCCTTACTGGGGATCGAACCCATGACTGCTAGAGGCAGATACCAACTAGCCGGCAGCTTAAGACACTGAGCCATGGGGGGCGTTGGCAGAGCTACATACATTGCAAGCCAACTGAGATATAGCACCACCTATCTCCCACTGTCACTGACAGTGGCTAGCCTGCGAGGTGATGACGTTCTCTCGCTAGACGCTATATCCGTAGTATTTGAAACTAGAAGAGGCTATTTTTAATTTATATTACTCACGAGTGGCGGGATTTTAGTTGTAATTCTGATAAGGCTTTCTTCCCAGTAGTTTACATGGTACATAGTAGGGCCTAGTCCGGAAAAGCACCGGACGCGTTTTACCCCATTGGGGCTGGTCAGTGGGAAGCATTCCTGTTGAGATAGAAAAGGTCACTGCCATCGGGAATGGAAGAATGCTTTTCCTACTTAATCAACTCATTGCAAACATTAGATACAATATATGATTTGTTCGACTCTTTATCCCTGTCTTGAGTTTGATTCAGAGCGAACAAAACGTCGTCATTAAGAAACTGCTTGGTACGATGGCGCCGATACCAACATGATTCATGTATGTGACACACTTAGTGTGTGAATCCTGTGGCTTGTGCACTGTGAACATACGCCCCAATAATCAACACTTTTCTGTGGCCTTCAGGTAGATATTGTTTTTAAGGTTGCATGACGCTGGTCACCGTCTTTAAATGCAATGTTACATTTTCTGTCCGTTTTCCACCGTTTACCGTGTCCCGCAAATTTGCTAGAACTGAGCGAGTGTGTTTGATCGAAATACTGCTTTCCATGTATTGTATTGCCGTCCAATACTCACTTGCCCATTTTTATTTAACTTTATTAACAGCTGTTTTTATTTTGTAGTCTTAATGCCCAAAATTTATCTACGCCTCCTTGTTATACTGTTTTTGTGATCTTACTTTCCATCGCGCGCTACCTTTGACTCGATACGTCATCTTTCTGTCCTTTCTCCTTCCCTTAAAGAGTCGTCCGTTCGGTGCTGCTCTCATATTTGCTGGTATCGATGAAAATGGTCCGCAGTTGTGAGTTACCGCGCCGCACCACTCTTTAACCATCCGTCGGTTCATTTTCAGAATTCACATGGATCCCAGTGGGACATATATACGGTATGATGCAAAGGCCATCGGTTCCGGCTCCGAGGGCGCTCAACAGGCCTTGCAAGAAATTTATCACAAAGTTCATTCGAATTTTTTTCTTGCTCATTGGGTCTGCTTTTCAGAACATGACTCTTCCTGAAGCATGCAAACACGCGCTATCTATATTGAAACAAGTAATGGAAGAGAAATTGGACTCAACTAATATTGAAGTAAATGCCATATGACTAGTTGACCCACAATTAAATTTTAGCTGGCCACCGTAAGCCTACAAGATGGATTCCACTTGTTCAACAAAGATGAAGTTCAAAATATCATTCAAGAATTGAACTAGTCCTATACAGCTATTCCTGTCGGAAATTTGACTTTCTAATAAAAATGTATCGCTATGATTCCAGAACGCTGTCTTAATTTCTGCGTCCAACCGTATTGCGAGCGTTTCTATTCAGTTGCTCGCAACCGAATGTCATTTACTCAAATTCTCCAGCATCTTTGCGTTTCCATGTGGTACGAAACACCTGCTACATTGAGCATCACTCTGAGAATGCTTACGTCAAACTTTCTACTCTGAGAACGACCTCAGGATTTAGCGACAGTCAAGAAAGTCGAAGACCGCATAGCACTACAGGATGATCTCAACAGGGCTTACAGGTGGTAATCTCAGAACTTACTCAGATTTAACTGTCATATTTAAAATAATGAGAATATGCTACCAGAACACGTACAAATATCGACTAGGAGAACACGCTTTGCAGCGCACTTCCCACGAATGTGATCTTGAGGTGCTCGAGCAGAGTGGTCTCAAAAGCTCAAGAAAGGCCGATAAAACTGGAGAAAAACTGACCAACACGCGGACCTACCATGGATGGCGTTTGACCGGCATAATCTTACCCTATTTTGCAGATGCTCAACGCTCAAGTGAAGTCACATGTAAAACACACCACCCAGGTGTAGCAAAAACATGACCTCACTGCTCTTGAGAATCCACAGCGGGGCGACTAAAATATTAAGGACTTGCTCCACTTCCCTTACCCATTTAGTCTAAAAGCCATAGTGAACAATATTGTCGTTCAAATTCAGGTGGGACTGCAATAATAGGAGAGTCCCGTGAGTGTTGCTTCTGGAGCGGCTCGTTGAGCTGGGAGTTGATAAGGTGTCCCGAAGTCTTGATGGATCTAAGACGAAATACCTGAATCCCATCCCAGTCGACCAGTTATTGTCCGCGTTTCCTGCACTAGAAGTCCGCGCTGTGCAAGTTCCGTAAAGTAAGCAATGGATAAGAAGAAAAACTGAGGGTAAACCATAAGGAAGGTGCTTTGAAGAAATGAATATCAAGGGGTGAAGGAAAGTACGGGAAAGAAAAGCGCAATTTGTCGGGAGAATGTGAAGGTTTGTGTTGCCACCCAAAAATCGTCCAGTTGACGCCCAAACCCCTTAACCGTAAATTCCCTGACAACACTTTCTATAAGCGAGTTCCAGTGTTCAATGAACTCCTCGCGATAACCGAGTTTCCGCCCTATTCCAGTCGAACCGTGGTTTGTCTAACTTTATAGAATGCGCGCGGAGACCGGGACGAATCCGGGCAAACTTTCCCGGTTAAAATACCGTAGGTTTGTACTAGGTGTCTAATCCCTCGCTAGTGCATTTGATGCATTCCCAGACTAAGTAGGCTCTCGGGACATATTCGTCCCCGGAACCCATCGACCAACTTAGCATCCACCCGTAGAACCCTTTCCAGCTCGATTTTGTCTTGGTCGAGGTAGGGCGGACAAGCCTAGACACAATATTTCATATTGGGTAGAATTTTTTATTGGGTAGCCCAGTTAACTTGGGTAAAACACGACTCATATATCTAAACTGACAACGATAGTTGGCCGACCGAACGTTTGACGATGCTCGACTCTCTGGTGGATCGCAAAGGTGTAATCGATTTAGCTCTGACCACAGCGGAACCCAGCTTGCTATTCGCGTATGTTCTGTTCGCGAAACAGGGCGGCGGGCACTTTGGGCGCAACGTAAATTAGACTAATCCCTCGATAATTGTCGCAGTCTGTCTGTTTTGTGACTGGTTGTCATGAGCCACTCTCCGTCGGCCGATGCACTTAACTCTTGTGTGAATAAAAGTGGGTGTTATCAAGGGAACCAGTGATCTGGCTGCATGCACACATTACAGCCGTTTCCTTGGCATGTCTGTGTTCCTACTTGTAATATGGGCGACAGATTAATTGAACCCACGGCATTCATCTGAAACTTGGTAGGGTGCACAATGCTCCGGTTCTTGGAACCATTGTATTAAGTGTTTGGATCACCTTTTCTTGGCCGACGAAATTTTCAAGGACAACCCCAAAGTGAACATCCTATTGAGTATTTGTGTCTCACAAACATACATGCTGATTCGCAGCCTGGTCATACTGCTACCTAATCACTACATCTCAAAGACATCAGTTATGGTGCAGCGATTAAGTTCAATACCCGCGTTTAGGGTGAGAGGGAGTCAGTTTCTTCCTTCGCTGCCGAGCTTCAGAAGTTGGCAGAATATTGTGACTTCAGCAACTACTGAAACTACATGATCCGGGATTGTTAGGTGATCGAGGTGAATAAGTCATGCATTCAGCACTGCTTGTTAACTTTTAATGCATTGACGAAAACTGCCTATAGTGTTGCGACGGGTATGGAGGCTGTTGAAAATGATCTGCAGAATTGACAGCTCAATTCGGACCTATGTGCTGATGACTTCCCGGTCAAAGTCAAAAATTGGATAAAAACGCAACGCGTTTTTTTCCTTCTGCTATTCCGGCGACACAGTCATCCCAGAGAGAGTAGTCATGTTCAGACAATTTGTAACAAATACCAATGCTCCTACTTGTCGGTCCAACGTAAGCGCATTTCCCAGCGACAAACAACCAACTTGTTGCTATTGAACCGCAGGAATATATAAAACATGCAACTGCCCCACGCACACAATTACCATATTGTCTATTGCTTTGTGTTATCAAGATTCTAGTACATTTCGATATCGACCCAAGCAGTGCAGTTACGTGCAACGAACTAATTTGGACACAAAAATTGTCCCCCGACGAGCCGCACCAAGCTGTGTCGAGCGCCCTTACAGTCGCGTAACATACACGGGTGGTGAATTGATACTATTAAGTGTTGACAACCCGGGAGACCATATACATAGCACACGGAGATCGTTCATACTTTCTAGGCTGCCATTAGATCAATCAGCTTCCAGTTCTACAGTTAAACCATCTTCGCTTGTCATCGAACGCTGCTCCGACGATACTCATCAGTTTTCGCGACACCAGGGGAAGAAAAGTTCACTGATGTCAAGTTAATATCTACATTTCACCTGGCACACGACCACGATTCATTAAGGCTCCGTCGCTGCTATATGTGATGTGATCAAAGTTAGAAGAGCAACTTGATCGTTTGCAGAAGGACGGCGTCATAAAGCCAGTACAGTTTTCGGATTGGGCTGCACCAAACTTTCCAGTACTCGGGTCTGATCGATCGATCCTCATCTGTGGTAACTGCAAGATTACCGTCAATTACAGTATTCCGTCTGAAAAACATCCCATTCCATAAACCGAGGACATTTACGTTCAGCACGATACCACCAGATATGTTCAACCTTAGACCTCGCACACGCCTATCAATAGCTCGAACTACATGCAAACACCAAGACAATAATGACAATCAGTATCCCTCGCAGTTTGTTCGGGTATCGTTGCGTGGCGCTTGGGACACTAGTCGGTAGCGATGACACATAAGAGACGTGCCGAATACGGAAATTACGGGCAAATGAAGGCAGCTGGGCGCAACGTGCATCGTACAGGCTACAAGGAGTTGGAAGCGAATCAGCAAAGGTGAGGAACGTGCTACACTGGACTCACAAGAGCAGTTTGTTAAAACGGATGTACAGTCAGTAAAATCAGTGGACGTTAAAAAGTTCAAACCACCGTAAAATCCAATGTTGTAGAATACTGAAAGAGTATGTTTTCCGGTTTCCCTAGAAGGGCTTCCCCCTAGAATGAAAGCCTTCGATAGAGCCGTCAGTGGGGGAAACGGGTATGGGTACGGTGAGTAATAGATGGGCTTGAACACGGGATTCCAAATGGGCATGTAGTAGAGTTCGCTTGGTCCAGGATTCTTTGATATTTATTATTTGCGTGTCGGCCGGTGGCTGATTGGTCTGCGTGCCTGGTTTGCAAGCATAAGGTCACCGGTTCGAATCCGCGTCGGGGCGGGCGTCCTCGCGGTATACTCAGCCCTCGCGCGACTAGTGCTGGTCGCGTGGCAGCGAAGCGCCGTTACGGTGTACAGCTGACACATTATTCTTATTTGCATGTGAACTGGATTGCATCATCGGTGGGTCATCGGGGTGGGCTGGTCGGACTGCGAAAAATTAGATGGCCCAGAAAAAGCCCACAGGACCTCCTCTGCTGCAGACACGACGGTGCGCTTGGGAGGTGTCATTTCCCCCACCACGCCCCAAGTCCACTGCCCGAACGGCCCTCTTTCCACGAAGAAATCCGGGCGTCCTCGTCGGCACCATCTAGCCAGGCGTTTGGGGATCAACTTGGTTTGACCGTCCACTGGCAAGGGCGACTGATTATCGCTTGGGTCAAAGAGCCGGTTGGCAAGCAACTCAAAAGTTACCCTTGCAGTTCCGGTGATTGAGTTTCTGGAAGGTAGAATTCAAATGGGTATGTGTGAGGGTCGGGGGTTGGCTTGATGCGGGAGATGGAACATGGCACGCAGGATAAAGACAAATACGCTTTTCGGGTTTTTCAATATGTTTGGGAATTTTTTGTCCATTTTGCAAAACGATTGTGTGAAACGCACGATTACCACCGAAGATGAAAAGTGTACGTGTTAATGGAAACAACAAATATTAACAGATTCTGAAGAACAGACCGGACGTTTGACCTGTCTACCGCATCGATCGCTTGCCTGAGGTTGAGGCGGGGTGGGTGAAGAGTCAAGTGGAACCGAGGGCTTCGGTATATCCAGTGTTCTAGAAGTGCGAGTGCTCATGTGACCGCATCAGGATGTGTTGCAAGTTGTTCGTCAAAGAAAGCCACTTTGAGGCGGTCGCTGGACACCGTTGTTCGGTGACCATTCTGTCCTAAATTAAAGTGCTTCGGAGTCCGTTGCAAAACTCTGAAGGGACCAGTGTAGGGAGGCTGACGAAGGCGCCTTACTGCGTCAGTGCGGAGAACGACGTGAGCTCAGGTAGAGAATCCGCTGTGCATCTGCACATGTCTGATCTGTTCGCGGGGCGGAGTCGGGCGTAGTGAACGCATGCATTGTGCTAGGGAGAATGCAAACTTAGACGGAGGCATACCCGACGATGCGGGAAGTGACATAAATTCTCCCGGCAAATTTAGCGTTGTG